TCGGCCCGGGAGGGTCTGGGGTCCCGGAGCTCTTCGGAGTGCGGGGCGGGGGGGAACACGCGCGGGAGCCGCCAGAGTGCTTGAGTGTGTTTCAGCTTTTGCCTACTTTGCACTAAGCAGCTCCGTGAGAACCCGAACTGCCTGTTTGTTAGGTCGGCGTTTAATGTGTTGTGTGCGCTGTTCCTTGAACTGGGCACGGTTGCAGACTCTGGTAGTGTAATCAAACTGAAAATGTTAATTGCGGTTTATATAATGGACGCTGATGACACATCCTACGACTCCCTTCTTCTCTGATCAGAGTATTTGTCTGGAGTCAATCTAATGCCGTACACCTTGAGGCGTGTTTGCTGAAGTGGTACTTACACCTCTAATATCAATGAAACAGCAACACAGACAGGAAGAAACTTCTAAAAACGTTGTGTCTGTGGTGCTGATTTGGATGAGACGTTGTGATGCGCTGCTTTTGTATTCCTCTACTTCTTTTCCCCTGTCTCCCTCCTTCCTTGAAGTCTGGGATGATGCTGCTATTCTGTGTGCTTGTGTTTCCATTCAAGTTGGAAGTGCCTGATCAAAAATCCTCTTACACCCACAAAAAAGCAAACATTTGCCTACCTTGTAAAGTTAACTTGAACACTGCATAGCTCTCAAAGGAGAGCAGAAGGCTCTCCCAATGCTGTTCTGTAGAAGGTCCATTTGTGGAAAACACTCGTGGAATACAAAAAATATTCCGAGCATTAGGAGAGTATGCTTGCACAGGATGTAAAATCTAATGCTTATTCACCTGGAATAGCTTATTCTTGCCCAAAGACGAGCCTTAATCTAAAATGTTGGTTTTTGTCTATAGCTACTAAGAGCAGTATTTGATTTTTGTTTGCTGATATCAAGAAAAACTGGCTTTTTACTTCAGACTTGCAGTTATCAATCTCTAACATGAACAGAAACAGGTTTAAGTTTAGTAGCAATGTCTTGGGGGGAGGGGTGGTAACCCCAACAAGATCAAGCAAGGATGTTCTTTGACAGATTCCTTCATCAGCTGTACTGCTGTTTGCTGCAAAGAGCTTTCTCTTCCACAGTCCTGTGTTTCTGCTTGCGTTGGCTCAGTCATCTAGTCAACAGTAATTTATTTTTTGTTAGATTTAGTATTTGTTTGGAACAAATACCTGCATGGCTATGTGTGTGCCAGAGGTAGTGTATGGGAAGTAGTAAAGGAATGAGGGTCTGCTGTTCATCACTGAACTCTTTGCCTCTCAAGCTCACAGTTCCTCGAGTCAGTGTCAAACTACTAAACTGGTGAAAATGTGATTCCAGCTGTCATACACAGTGTGAGTGGGTCTGGTCCCTCCTTGTGGTGAAACCATTTCCTTTTCTGTTAAATATCTCATGCAGCAACACCGGAGGTGGTTGGGCACTTGTTATACCTGGGAGAGCTCAGTGAAGGTACAGATGTGATCCAGCTAAGAAGTAGGCAAAAATCTGGAAAAGTTTACTTGTACATTGCTCCCCCACACTATTAATTGAACTGCCCACAGTGTGTTGGCTGTGAGCAGCTTCTATGGAGCTGTTTCTCTGAGACATGGTCACTTCCTCAGTGATGTGACGGGCTGGTATGAGAGTCACCACAGCTGCTCCTTTCTTCGCAGGAGTTTATCACGGAGTAAGCAGTCTTGGTGACAAGCTAAACTTGCATGAGTTGTCTTGCTGTTAGTGCTTTTGAAGTAACATTTTGCAAAAGAAGTTTTGTGGTGTGTTTGTGTTTTTTTTTTTTTTTTTTTTTAAAAGACAATGAAAGTGTGTGTGTTATTGGAAGGCCTTTATGACATGCTGAAGTTCAGGCTTAATCCTGAGTTACTATTAAAAGTAGATACTTAACCCATTTCTCTTCTGTTTCTAGCCAAGGTACAGGTGTCTATCTAGAATGTCCAGGCATGCACAACAGCTTAGAGACCATGAGATAAATCCCTGTGTAGCGGTAAGACTATCAAACTAGGATTTCTGTTTGTATGTTTCAGTGTTAAATAATGTGTTTTCTAGAGGATTTTTTTTTTGTGGTTGGTACTCTTGCATTGAGATTTTGCATAAAAACTTTCTTAAAGAGTCTGAAGATGGGAAAAGCTGAAAATCATCCACTATAGTAAGTGTGAAATAACAACCAGTAATTCCTCATAAATAGGAGGAATACAACTGGTAGCACTATCTTCAGTTTTCTGTCCTTGAAACCAGAGCCTGAAATCCTGGTTAGACAAGCTTGATTGATATATTTTTTTTTTTAAGTCTTTGGTGGGTTATACCAAGCATCTTTGTAAAGAACTATTCTGTGGACTCTATCCTTACGATTTAAAGAGTACTAATGTATGTTATCTCTAAATGAAGTCATTGCTTGAAATTACTGATTATCCTTTGTGATAGATGTTCCTTTGCTCTCTTTGATAGTATTCTTTCATCTGAGAAGATGCCTCCTATCTTCATAAATATTCTGGGAGTTGTTAGAATTTTTAGACACTGAGTGCAGTATCTTCCCTCAGCTCTGAAGTATGTTTTCCCTATTAAAGGAAACGGATGCCTCTAGGAAATGTATGGATGACAACAACTATAACAGGGATATGTGTACTGCTTATTTTTTGAAGTACAAAAGATGCAGAAAATTCTGGGTAAGTGCAGTAGATTTTCTAAATTTCGCTATATGCTTTAATTGAAGTACATTACTTCCAACACACTGCTTGCTGAACTCTTCAGACTTGGCTAGCACTGACTGCAGCTGTTTTTACAGTGGGTTACAGGCCTAGGTAGTCTTGGTATGGGTTGCTGGAAGACTTAAGCAGATGCACATCGAAATACTTCACTTGGTTCCCCTAAATTAACCCTCTTAGATTGTGAGTCAGTGTTCTTGCAGTACCTGGTATGTTTTCCTCTGAATCCAAGTCGGGCATTTCTAGTAATAATTTCTGTTTTAAAGGGATATAATGAACAAATCTGAGGTAAGATGAGTTCCTCTGGTTTTCCATTGGTTTGCATCATGTTTAATCTAAGAGAAAGCTTAGGAAGAGTTCATTCTTATTTGGTGGTGTCCTTAGTTCCTTCTCTCTTGTGGTAGAAAAGTGTCATGAGGAACTATGTGCGGTTAAACTGTTCTCTGCTGTTTTCTTTCCGTATGCTGTAGTAGTAAAGAGTCTTTGAGCTTAGCCTTTAAATACCTGCACAAACTACCAAAAAATATTTACAGACAATTGCACGTTAGTCTGACGTAGTGTAATGGGAATACTGTAACTTCACTGTTTTCTGAAGCAGCAAGGTAAACGATTGGATATCTTCAATTAAATACTAGTGCACTTAGTTATCAGCTCATCAGATTTAGAGTATTTGGCTCTTGATATACCAAGAGTGCTTCTACTAAAGAATCTTATTCAGAGCTCAGAGGCAGAGGCTTCTGAGAAATCTGTGTGCTCATGGTCACCTTCTTCTATTTTCAGCATGACATTATGATGCAAAGGAGAAGAAATGGTGTGAAACCAGAGATGCCCTCAGCAGAAGAAAGAAGGAAAATGTTGGAATCAATGGGGAAGCCCTACTGACTAGAAACTTGCATTGATTGGTTGTTTCACTGTACATATGAAGACTTATCAGCAGCAAGTTACCCTTCTATGAACGGGACTTCACAGTTGCTGTATATTGGATTAAACTAAGCTCTTAAATTTTGAAATGCATGAACTTTCTAGGATAGTATGTCTTGATTTTATTTGTACTCCATGTCTTGAACTTGGTCTCTCACTGGAAGACACAGGTATCAGCACAACTTGCATCTAAACGCTTTGGAAGTAGAAACTAATTTGCTATGAAATGCTAAATGTAAAATTAATGGGACTCACAGATAGCGTGTTTGCAGAGAGGGACCTGGTGAGTGCTGCCAGTGTAGTTCTAAGAATGGAGCAGGTTGAGAGTCTGGTGTGTGCAATATGTTTCTTGTATCCAGCTATTCTGCCTAATATTCTGGATTTATCATGTGTGATCCTATCACTGTTTTCATGTGAGTTGTATTGTGTCGCTCGTTTAAATAAGATTCTTTATGAACTAAAATCCCAAATGCAACAAGCTTGTCATTAGGTCTGCCACTGCACTCATCAGTGACAGCAGAAGCTTGCAATAAATCAGATCCACAAGCTTTGCTTGTTACAAGGTTAGAGAGGTTGATGAAGATAGAACTGAGCTGCTCAGGTCTGAACTGAATAGTACCTTCTGTGGATAGTAAATAGATACTTTGCTAGCAGGGAGGTGGGGAGGACTTGTAGACATGTAAACATATACTCTGAGTGACACGGCAGGTTTAACTATAGTACAGCTATCTAAGACTCTCTGGACAGCTGAAGCACAGGGTTTGGAAATGCTTACTCATACAAGACTGCAAAGCTCAGTTTGAACAGGTACTCTAATCTTAAGTAAGATTGATTCCTTAAAGTGAACAACTAGTAAGTGTAAATGGGTTGCTATCTAGTGGAAACGCTGTCTGCGTGCCTCTAGTACCTTCTGGTGTCCTGGCTTAAAAGCTTGCACCCTGTGGTAAAACAGAAAAACTGCTGTCATGAGCTCAAGTTCCATGTGAAATCCTTTAGCACTTACTGTGATCAAGTTGGCAGAACTCTGGCTGACCTCATGGAGGATGGTGTAAAAGTGTTGTCTCTCTATTTAGACTGTTTGGAAAGACTTCATGGCTTCCTGTTTCTTCTTCTGTCTGGCTTGTCTTCTTTATTTCCACTGGAGACCTGTTTCTATGCTTAGTGGGATTTTTGTGCTGTTTCCACTTTCTCACTTGTTATTTGACCTGACTAGCAGCTAATGGAGATCAGCTTTTCCTCCTGGTCTTTCTGTCTGTTCTTATACTTCCAAGTTTTGAAATGGATTGATCATACCCTTTCTGTTGTTGGAATGAGTGTGTAACTCTATGCCTTTTGAGTATGCAGTTCTCTGAGCACAGCTGTGCAGCCTCCAAGCCATGTCACAAGTTCTCTAGTCAGTCCCTACCAAGGGAAATTGACTTTCTTCAATCAAGATCAGATTCTTTGTTTTAAATTATTTTCTCTGCACTTAAAATTCAAACTTTGCTGATGTTTTTTTGGTTTTTTTTGTGTGAAACAGAAGAAGTTTTCATTGCAGATTAGAAGGCTCTTTCTTGCCCAGCACCTCCTTCCTCTGGTACCTTCCTACATACCAGTCTTTCATTTGTTTTTTTTCCCCGCTTGACACCAATTCTTTTTTTACTGGTTCAAGCATTTTGTCTGTTCATTCCAACACTATTTTTTTTCTAGTAGCTTTTTTCTGTCTCTGATTCAGTGATGTAGTCCTGCAATGACTTTCTAATACAGCTCCTCTTGAAGGTCTTGTGTTCTCTGTTCTCCATGTCTTAGTGAGAGGAGAACTCCTTGCATGTTTTAGTCAGGCTTAGCCATACTACTTCCTCACTGGCTGTGCCTCTATTTGATCATCTTGTTCAGCTGCAGTTTTTGGGGAGCTGATTGTCCCCTTTTCCTGAGGGCTGTATCTCTCTTGACTCTTCTGGTTTTGCTGCCTTGCTCATCTAAGGGCACCTTGTCTCCCACTTGGTACAGGTTTGTCATTTGGCACCTCTGCTGTATCTTTGGGCATGTTCTTTACTCCTGTGGCTTTGGCTACTATTCTAGTGCTTGTTGTTTTCCTGTTGCTGTGCTGTTGTGTTCTGGGCTTACATTAAAATCTACCGTATGTTTTAGTTCTATGCAAGAAAAACAGCATCTCCTTTTGATGTCATTATGCTGATTCTTCCTTGCATAAGCTCAAGTTCCTCAAAGTCGTCTCATCCTAGGTTTTCCTTTTGAGTTTTCTTTGAAAGTAGACATGCTCTTTCTCTGAGGTTGATTGTTGTGTTCAGTTTTTTCCTGCTAATATTTACTTGCAAGGTTGCCACTGTTTTGTTTTCTTTTAAAGGATGATTGACTTATCTTTAGACTTTAATAGGTACCCTGTACTGCTTTGTGAAGTGTTTATGAAGAACTAGTACTGGACTTCAGAAGGTCAGAAAAGGAGATGCATTCCCTCCTTTCAAGTATAAAACAATGCAAGAATGTAGGATCACAGGGCAGGCATTACGCATGTAATGCAAGAACAGTACTCTAATATTAGACTTCCTGATGATCAGTGGACACACATGGTAAGCTTCCTGGGAGTGTTAGGACAGAACTGAGTTTAGTGAAGAACTGAGGGCAATTTAAGCAGTGACCTTGTGGATTTAATTCAGGTAATCAGTTGTCTGTTGTAGGGAATGCTACTTATTTATTTCCATTTTGTGTGCCTTAGTTACTGTTAAAGAGCGCAAGTTTACGAAAAATCTTGGAAAGCATGAAGTTTTCTTCCTCATGTCATAATGCCTTTCAAGAGTAATCCATTAGTTAGGTCTGAGTGTTCATCATTTTTTCCCCATCACTGGAGGCTGCTGTTCTTGCTTTCTCTACTGAAGCTCGAGAGTGGTAAGTTACCATAGCTAAAACATAGGCACTTATGTATGAAATGGTTGTGCTTTTTCCATTAATTGTTGTAGTGTGATTAACTGTCTTCGGTTGTGAGCCAAAGATAATGGTCTCTGCCTTATATGTGGGAGCTTACATTCCATGCTTCACTGCCACACCGAGGTGAGCTATAGGCTGCCAGTCTTACTGGGCAGAAATAAACTGAGTTGAATTCTTAGTGTTGTGAAAGCACACTCTTGTGTACTAACCTAGAAAACATAACACAGTGGACCAGTATAATTAACTCAGAAGCAGACCTGTGGGTTTTGTTTTGTTTAGTAGATGTTGTTTTTGCTTGTGGTACAAGGACCAGATCTGGTTAGTGGCATTAATGTTTCATATTTTTTTTGACAGCTGGATGGTGCTGTTGCACAACAGACTGTATGAAAACAGAATCACTTCACCTACTACTGGCTTTTTCGAGCTTTTTTTAGACTCTTCCCACAGATAGCAGAATTCTTGCAGGAGAAAGGGAAGATTGGTGCTGTCCCTATACTATAAGCAGAAGAGGAGGACAAGAGTTTAAATCACTGCTGGAAAATAGGAGCAGCCTGAGAAGCTGGTACTTGATATTTTTCACTGTGGTTATTTGATCACATTGAGCAGCAGCTACAGGCTCTCTGCCAGGCGCTGCTGAATGTCCAGACTCCCATCTGTGCATTTTTACCATCTTACTGTTCCTGTTTTCCTACAGTGCAAAGCCTTTATGTGTTTGGCTTTGGAAGCTTTCTGCTGCCACAGTTCGGATGAGTCTATGCTCTTGAAGGTGTTAGAAAGTCATGTAGCTCTAGAGTCCTGAAAACTTTTGAGTTGAGTAGCTGAAGCTGTGAAAGGCAGGCAGGGAGTTGCATGTGCTGCAGCTCTGAGTCTTTTTCGTGGTCTTCTACTAATAAGACTTTTGCACTCGTGTGACCGATGGCATGCATATAGGGGAGACTTCCCTAAAACTTCTGCAGAACAGATAGGGTGAATAATTTAGAGTGTGCAGTGTTACTCTGGTCTAATGCATTTGGAGGCAGCCCTTAACTCATGCTAAAAGTATCTGCATCTTTAAAGTCACTCTTCCAAAATAGCTATGAAAAAAGTAATTGTAGTGTGAAAAAAATTGGAAAAATAGTACACTATTGCAGGCTTTTATTCCCTTGCAAGAATTTGAGCGAACTGGAGGAGATGACCTGCTGACCAACCCAGTGGCTTTCTGTGATGGTGCAGCTAGATCAGTGGGCAAGGGAAGAGCTATGGATGTGATCTGTCTGGACTTCTGTCAAGCCTTCGACACAGTCCCTCACAACATCCTTCTATGTAAATTGGAAAAGTATGGATTTGAGGGGTGGAGTGTTCGGTGGCTAAGGAACTGGTTAGAAGGTTGCATCCAGAGGGTAGTGGTCAACAGCTCAGTGTCCGGATGGACACTGGTGACAAGTGGTGTCCCTCAGGGGTCTCTGCTGGGGCTGGTGCTGTTTAACATTTTCATCAATGACTTGGCGAGATTGAGTGCGCCTTGAGCAAGTTTGCAGATGACACCAAGCTGAGTGGTGCAGTTGACACCAGAAGGACAGGATGTCATCGAGACGGACCTGGACGAGCTGGAGAAGTGGGTCGGTGTGTGAACCTCATGAGGTTCAACAAGGCCAAGTGCAAGGTCCTGCATCTGGGTCGGGGCAACCCCTGCTATCGATACAGGCTGGGGG